CCATATGGTCCCCCGACCACTGCCAGGAGTAATTCCTGAGTGCAGAGCCAGGGGTCACCCCTGTGCATCGTCAGGTGTGACATTCCCCCCCCCAAAAAGGTGGAAAGATATGCCATTATGTTGAGGACGGGTTAAAAAAAAAGAGTTGTATAAAGCAACAAAATGGGAGACTAACACCCAGGAATGGCCGAGATTAGTACCAGGAATTTTGCTCCATGACTTGAAGGCCAGCCACACGTGCTAGGTGAAAAGGAAGCTCAGATAGAGAAGAGAGCACCAAATAAAGGGTGTTGTGAGGATTCTCCCAGGGTGGGAGAAGCATGCTGAAAGTAGTCTATAGACCAAACATGATTGCCACTCAATGCCTCTCTTGCAAAACACAGTACCCAAAAGAAGAGAGAGAGAGAACAAGGGGGAATGCCCTGCCACAGAGACAGGGTGGGACAGGGGGGTTGGGGGGTGGGAGGGATGCTGGGACCCGTGGTGGTGGAGGATGGGCACTGGTGGAGGGATGGGTGCTTGATCATTGTATAATTGATACCCAAGCACAAAAATCTGTAAGTCTACAACTGTACCTCATGGTGTTTCACTAATAAAAAAAAAGTTAAAAAAAGAGTTGTAAGGGAAGTTGGTGGAGGGGGGTGGCATGGGGGCAGAGATAGCTCATGCTTTGCATACAAGAGGCCAGACTTGGTCCCTGGCACTGAATATGGTCCCCTGAGCGTTGCCAAGTAGGGACTCTGAGCACAGAGCCAGGAGTAGCCTCTGAGCACTGCTGAATGTGGGCCCCAAACTGAGCAAACTAACAAACAAGATTGCAGGGCGTGGATCATGGGGTCATGCAGGGCCCACGGTGTTCTGCTGGTGGGCACCTGGGCTGCGCTTCGGGAGCAGAGGAGTGACCACCGTCCCTGGCTGTGAAGACCATTCCTTGGGACTTGCTACAGGGACTGTCCAGCTCCCTGGACCTGCCAAAGGCGACTTGGGAGACCAAGAAGCTGTCCCCAGTGTTCCTAACCAGGCAGCACCCGGGAGACTCGATTCCAGTCTGATCCTCCCATTTTGCAGATGAAACCAAAAAAGGCAAGAGGGTTACGATCTGCCCACATCCATACGGCTAAGGAGACCGCTGGGCCCCTGATCAGGGCTGGGGAGTAACTTCCTGGTCAGAGCAAGACCAGAAGAAGTTTGACTCCTGCAGTTCTTCTTCTTCTTATTTTTATTTTATTATCATTTTTATTATTTTTGCTTTATCGGGTCACACCCGGCAATGCACAGGGGTTGGTTACTCCTGGCTCTGCACTCAGGAATTACTACTGGCGGTGCTCAGGGGGCCATATGGGATGCTGGGAATCGAACCCGGGTGGGCTGCGTGTTACTAACCTGCAAGGAGTTTTACTGTGTAAAACATCCTTATAAATTTAATTTAAAAATCAAATAAAAAAACCCGATTTTCTGTTATGCTTTTGGGTCACACCTGGCGATGCTCAGGGGTGACTCCTGACTCTGCACTCAGGGGTCACTCCTGGCGGTGCTGGGGGACCCTACAGGATGCCGGGGATCAAGCCTAGGTTGGTCTCATGGAAGGCAAGCACGTCACCTGCTGCACGCTCTCTCCAGACACCAACTCCACCCCCCTCCCCGCAAACAAAAAAGTAATTTTTTTCTTTTTGGGTCACACCTGGCGATGCACAGGGTTTACTCCTTGCTTTTCTTTTCTTTCTTAATTTTTTTTTATATCATCAGGATTTTATTGGTTTTTTACTACATCTCAATCATTGTTCTACATGCTTGGTGTGAATTACATCACTGAATTAACATAACAACCCTCTGAGGTAGATACTTGATAGAAAGAAAAGCAGAGGATTACTCCTTGCTTTTCACTCAGGAATTACTCCTGGTGGTGCTCGGGGAACGGTAAGGGAAGCTGGGAATCGAACCCAGGTTGGCCGCCTGCAAGGCTAACACACCCTATGCACTGTACTACGGCTCCAGCCCCTGAACCCATTATTTCTTATCTGCCAAGCAGTGGGGTGGCAGTTGGGAATGCCATCGAACCTTCAGCTCCTTCCAGCCCCTCTACCGTGGTGCAGACGGGGCAGTCCTCCCCTCCCAGGTTTGCACACCAGCTCCTTCTGCAGTAGGGCTGCCCTTAGCTTCCCTGCCCCGATTTTCTGCCCTTTGAAATACGGTGAAAGGGACAGCTTTTATGAAGTACCAGATGACTGGGCTGGAGGCACCAAGAGTGGTAGTACAGCGGGTAGGGTGCTGGTTTTGCATCTGGCCCACCCAGGCCCGGTTCCCAGCATTCCAAATGCCCCGTGCCCCCCACCCCCCACCCAAGTCTGCCCGGGATGATCCCTGACTGCAGAGCCAAGAGTAAGCCAGTTGTCAGCTTTGAGCATTGCTGGGTGTGGCCTTCAGACCAACAAAAAAAAAACCAAAAACAAGACAGGGGGGAGCACATTCCTGCTTTCTGCACAGCACTCACTCACAATTGCGCCCCCTGTGTCATCGGTGGCCCCTTACCACACACTGCACTCTCTGGGGACAGGTGGCTCGGGGTACAGTCATCAAACCAAGGAAAGCAACTGGTGAGAGAATTTCAGATGGCTTAGCAGCTGGGAAGAAGGCGAAGAGGTTATCCCAACAGGGTTAGGACACATCAGCAACAACCCAGAGGCTGTAATTAACGATTAGCTTCTGATTAGCTTCTATAAGAGTCTAATGTGGAGATTACCTTCCTTAATGCCTTCGTCCGATCCGATGGAGGTTGGTTTTAGGACGTTTCCTGGAGAAGGGATTCCACGTCAGAGACGGTGACCCAGGACTCCTGCCTGCGTCTCCAGCTTGCTGACAGATTTGGAATCACCTACAACAACTCGTACCCGAATTCCCAGCCGGCTGCCGTCCCCCACAGGCTCCAAACCCGCCAAGTGCGAGCCAATTCCTTCAGAGTAGAACTTCTGCTTCTCCACAGGGCTGGGACGGTACCCAGAGCTTTACAGACGCGAGGCTGACACTCCACGTTGCGGGACTAGAATGCCTTTATTTTCTCACTGCACATATAAATGTTTCTCTTTCTACGAGTAGGGGACCCCGACTGTCCGGGAGTGTGGGGAGGTCAGCTCCCACATGGAAGGCAGAACCCAGCCTTGCCGTGCTCACCCTCCTGCCCCCACCTCACCCCCAATCCGCAGACACCAGGGAGGGAAATGGACTCGGAAAGAGAACTGAGACACAGAAGTAGGTGATGTGTTTATTGTGTGTGTGTGTGTGTGTGTGTGTGTGTGTGGTGGGGGGTTGTGTGTCTTTTCCTGGGAGCAGGTGGACTGTGAGGTTCTACAAGCAAGTAAGTCCCGGGCCCTGGAACAGACAGCTACAACAACAACAACAACAACAACAACTTGGAATACAAACGGGTCACATATAAATAAGAGGTTGGGTTCCAGGGCAATACCTCGAAGGGCTGGAGCACGTGCTTTACCTGCAGGCCCCCAGCTCCCGACCCCCGCCAAGGGTGGCCCCATACCAAAAAGAAAACAAAAATGTACAGTGACTAAAGAAATAAAAGTCATTGTTTAAATTTTTTTTTTTTAAAGGAGGTTGGCAAAGAGAAAAGAGAGAAACAAACCACGTGCAGGTCCTATGCTACCTCGACAGCGTCCGGGCCCGCCCCTGCCCACTTCCAGAGCTGAGGCCCCACCCGTGTAGAAAGTCGCCTTCGGATCCAACTCGTGGATGGCCCTGCCGCGGTGCTCGGGGCTGGCAGGCAAGTCCAGAAAACCACAAGTTCTTAAAAAAAAAAAAAAAAAAAAAAAAACAGAACCAAAGTTGAAGGTTGCTTCCACAGCCCCGGTTCTGTTCTGCTGTTCCGTGCTTCTCTGGGTCCCAAGGGGGCGCCTTGAGCCTGAGCCCCAGGGGAGCAGCGTGTGGGGCCGCCGGTGAGAAGGAAACATATTGCACATGGTAGCACGGGTTTCCTGAGAGCCTTCTCGCGGGGCCCCGCGCCCCCAGACCGGCCGGCGGCGGACAGGACTCCCCTCTTCTCCTTTACCTTCAGAGTCCGGTGGGGCTCCAACTCCTCACAGGTCAGCAGGCGTGGACGGCGTCTGGGGTTGCTGGTTTCAAACATCTGTCGGCTTTTCCAACCATCATTTTCCTGCGTGTGTGTGTGTGTGTGTGTGTGTGTGTGTGTGTGTGTGTGTGTGTGTGGTGATCCAGATCCTCCAGGTGAACAGAGTATCCAGGGCGTGGAATCTTCTGGAACCAAGAGCCTGGGAACTGGTCCTTCCAATCCTACGCCTGGGCAAGGGCGCTGTCCCCCACGGCCAGACAGACACCGCCGAATTAACTGCCACTTGCCCCGCCCCCCCCACCACCTCCCAAGCCCCGGCACGGACGGGACGGGCGGTGTGGCCATTGACGTGTTTTCCTCCTATGGAGTTTTCAAGTATCACCAAATCCCTGATGCAGCGTGTAAACAAGTCAGCTTGCTGAGGAGAAAGCTGGGTCACGGAGGGAGCGGTGGCAGCGGCTGGCAGGCCCCGCAAGCTTCCCGCTCGGGCAACAGAGGCGAGAGGACTGTCAACCATGCCTGCCAAGGCACAGGCTCGTTCCCGTGTGTGTGTGGCCACGGCAAGAGAGAAGCCACGTGGGCCCCTCCTCTGGGACGGCCGGTGGCCCCTTCCTGCTCAGCCACATCGTTGCTGTGAGCGTGCCACGAGCGAAGAAGTCCGATCTGCCGGTGGACTAGAGTCAAGGTGGGCCCCCAGCCTCCAGGTCTTTTCCTGCTGCCCCCGGGGACCCCCCACCGGTCACAGTGCAGAAGGGGCTGCTCCAAGGGGTATGGGGGGGGGGCGAGCCGGGCTGATGCTAATTTGCTCTGCGTGAGTCTTGTTTTGAAAACGCGCCCCCCCCCAACCCTGTTGAAGGGCAGTGAGGCTCTGTGGGAGTCCCTGGCTCCAGTGGGGTCCCCCACACCGTGCCCCCTACTGTCCTTACTTGTCAAAACAGCCTGCGGGGAATGGGTGGCTCCCACTGAAGTGGCGGCTTCCGTAGGGGTTGGCGAGGCAGTGCCTGGCCTCCGTGGCCATGGCCATCTGCAGGCGCAGGGATGGGGGCAGGGGGACGGAACCTGCGTCCAGAGGCTGGAGGGAGGGGTACGGGGTGCTGAGGGATGAGCCGCTGCCCCCCGAGCACAGGCTCCCTGAGCGGTGGGCCTGCAGCGCATCCCAGTAGGCTAAGCACAGGTCCTGCCCGGAGGCCTGCGGGGGCTGCAAGCCCGAGGGGGTGTGCTGGCTGGTGGCAGTGAAGGCCACGGGTGCCTGCGGTAGCACCGGCGAGTGGGTGGTGGGGGTGCCGGGCACCAGTGCCAGGGCCTGGCTCTTGGCAGTGACGGCGTCCTTGAGGATGTTGTCATAGGCTCTGAAAGGAAAAGGGCACACGGGGTAAGACTTGGTACGGGCCACAGCACTGAACCGCCCCGACTAGACCTCCACCCTCCGGGGTGTCAGTGGGACCCCAGAAGCTCCGGGGTTGTCTCTGGACCTTGCCCGAGCACCTGGCTTGCTCAGTGTTGCCTCAGAGATCCTCCAGGTTACATGCAGGGCCCGAGTCACACCTGCACCTGCTTCTTACAGTGACCAGCTGGGTGTCCCTCTCTACGGCCTCTGTGGGCCCCCAACAATAACTTCCAGGGCATGAGTGGGCCACTTCGGTTAAGTCCCAGCTCAGCCAATGGCGACAGAAGAGCTCCGGGCTTAACTCAGAAGCCAGCTTTGCAACTGCATCTGGAAAAGCAGCTATGGTATTGAGGGCCTCTGGGTAAATGCCATCTCCTCTGAGGTCACCAAATCCCCGTGACTCAGCTCACAGAGCCCAGTCCTAAAGGACGCGCACGGAGATCTACTTCTTTCTCCTTCCGCCACCTTGAAAATGAAAGCCACAGACTGGAGAGTCAGTTCGGGGGTTACGGCACTTGCCTTGCGTCCTACCAACCCTGGCACCGTAAGTGACTCCTGGCACCGGTGCTCCCTGAGCACTGCCAGAAGTGACTCTTGGCACCAGCATTCTCAGTGAGGTGCCAGGAGTTACTTCGAAGCACAGAGCCTAGGAAGAGTGCCTGAGCACTGCTGTGTGGGCTCAAACCACACATCCCCCATGTTTATAGAAATGAAACCAGGGGCTGGGGAGATAGTGCAGGGCTTAAAATGCTCGCCTTGGGCGGAAGAGATCGTATATCAAGTAGGGAGCATTATTCACCTGTGGCAAACCTGAATTCAATCCCTGGTACCCCATATGGTCCTCTGAGTACCGCCAGATATAATCCCTGAGCACAGAGCCAGGAGTAAGCCCTGAGCACCACCAGTTTATTGCACAAAAACAAGAAGAGAGAGAGAGAGAGAGAGAGAGAGAGAGAGAGAGAGAGAGAGAGAGAATGTTTTTCTTGCATCCTACTGAAACTGGTTCAAGTTCTCAGCATCACATACCTTCCTGTAAGCACTGCTAGAGGTCACTCCTGAGCACAGAGCCAGGAAAAAAACCCTGAATACCACTGGGAGGGGCCCAATTTTCCCCTGAACCCTCCTAAGTTATTAAAAATGCAATACAGTGGGGCTGGAGAGACAGTTCAGTGGGTAGGGAACTGGCCTTGCATGTAGCTGACCTGGGTTTGATCCCCAGCACTCCGTAGGTTCCCCAAGCACCGACAGGAGAAATTCCTGAATGCAAAGCCAGGAATAACCCCTGAGCATCGTCTGGTGTGGTCCCCCCCAAAAAAACCAAATAAACAAAAAATGCAATCCAGAGCCAGAGAGCTAGTTCAGAGGGCTCTATGCATGACTGTGTTTGATTCTCTAGCAATTTATGGTCCTCGTGAGTACTATCATGGGTGGCCCCAAAACAACCAAATGCAACCCCAAAAAGCTACTCAACATAGGAAGGAGCAACCCCCAATCACTAATTCTACCAGACACCACTGGTCACTGTAGGCCAATTCTTCTTTTTTTTGGGGGGGGGGGCGGTTCACACCAGGTGATGTGCAGGGGTAACTCCTGGCTCTGCACTCAGGAATTACCCCTGGCAGTGCTCAGAGGACCCTATGGGATGCTGGGAATTGAACCCAGGTCAGCCGCGTGCAAGGCAAATGCCCTCCATGCCAACCCGCCCCACCCTGGGGTCCCACCTTGCAGGGTGACCTCGACTGTACTATAGCTCTAGTCCCTGTAGGCCACTTCAGAAGGAAGTACCAGCTGGGGGTTGAAACCCTGGACAGAGGCGAGCCTTAAGAACAAGGGAACCTCTGATTTCAGGAGCATGGAGGGATGAGTAGAGGAACTCACACAAGCAGGATTTCAAGACACGTGCTGAGATGTTCTAGGGAGTAGCTTGAGATCCTCTGAAGGTCTCTGGTCCAGTAGGGGAAAAGCTGAAGGCAAATCCTAGCAGCGCCAACACAGGCTGCAGCAACCACAGAAGGCTGGAATTTGTAGAAAACATGGTCTGAAAAATTAAAATTTAAATGTCACAAAGTTTCATCTTTCAGTCCTATACACCTTGAGAATTTCTGAGGTCAACCTTTTAAAGCAATGGTTTTTCAAAGTCCCAATCATGGTTTCCAGGGGGCTCTCAGGGGGCTCCCAGGGGGCTCGCTGATGGCCTCGGAACAGAATCTGAGAACATCTGTTATCCCTTCGGTCATAGGGGTGAATGACACTATTGAAAGGCTGCTGATTCCAGTATGACTGTAGGCAATGAGCTAACAGCAACAGAGCCTGGTCCATAACAGTGTTCAACACAGAGCTTCTGAATGACTGAGAACATTCACAACTCACACTAGTATTTGACTCAGCGCTCTTGAGGAATCAACCCTCACTCCCCCTTTAGGGGAGCGTGACTGACAAACATTGCACAGACAGATCTGGGTGAGCAAAGAGGCCGGGAATTTCCAGTCCTCCCAAGTCGGCCTTTGGAAGACTGAGCCAGGCAGAGTGGCATCAGGACAGCTGTGAATTAGAACCGTGAGACTTGGGTCGTGGCAGTGACTTCGGTAAGTTCCTTCATCTCTTGAACATCACCTCAAGAAGCTGACATGGGTCTGATTTCCATTTACCCTGGTTTTGAGGTTAAAAATAGACAATGAGGGGCTGGAGCAACAGTACAGTGGGTAAGGCCTTGCACGCGGCAGACCTGGGTTCAATTCCCAGCATCCCATATGGTCCCCTGAGCACCGCCAGGGGTCATTCCTGAGCACAGAGCCAGGAGGAACCCCTGTGCATTGCCAGGTGTGACCCAAAAAGCAAAAAAAGAAAAAAAGAAAAGAAAACAAAACAAAACAACAAAAAAGAAAAATGAACAATGAAGGCACAGCACTGCAGTCTGGTGCTGGTGCCCGGTGGGGGCAGGCCAGGCTCCCAGGAGTGGACACCGCGACACAGAGCCTCTGATTTACAGTAGGGCTTCTCATGTTTGTCTCCACAGTACGTCTGCCCCAGTGTTTCACTTAATACCTGGATTTAAGAGCGAGATTCGAACATAAGACCCTACTAGTGGGGAATCTAACGGCTACAGCAGACGTAAACACAATCCCCCCTCCAGGACCCTGTCTGGGCCTCTTCTGGAGTGACTGGCCAGCTACCTGCCGTTCAGTCTGAGCTATGTTTCAGGTTTCCCTAAGAACAACGAAACGAGTGAGCCGTGACCTTGGAAGGTACCAGCTGCTGTTTACACATTACCGGTCACACACACACACACACACACACACACACACACACACACACACACGTGTCCTTATCCCTCCTTTTCCCCCGGTTATATGGCTGTGATATGGGCTGGACTGTGGGGGTTGTCTGTGACTGTGAATTCCCTGAGTGCCAACCGGTCCCAGCACCACACCCCCTCCCCCCACCAGAGGGTGGGACAGGGTGACTCGCCCCACCCTGGGGTCCCACCTTGCAGGGTGACCTCGAGGAAGTAGTGCGCGTACTCCGTGAGGCACTCTTTGGTCTTGCGGGGACAGGCCGTGGGCCAGCTGTGGCAGTGGTGGTCCTTCTGGCTGACAGAGGCCAAGAGGTAGTAGTCGAGGAAGTGGGCGGGCGTGGGCAGGCTGAGGTCCCAGTGGAAGGCCTGCAGCAGCAGCAGCTCCGTGCTCAGCAGCTCCTGCCTGGTGAGGGTGAAGCTGTGGCAGCTCGGGACCCGCATGCTGTTGATCTGCTCCAACTTGGGCACGCGGTCCTCCCGGTCCTCGAACTTACCTGGGGGACAAGCGGGGGTTACTGGGAGGCAGTGCTCCCCTCCCCTAGGAAGGGAAGATCCACCGGCAAGCGCCCAGCTGGTCTTGGGAGATGCACAGAGGGGAGACTGCCCAGGGACTAAGAACCCGAGTTCTTATTTTTTTTTATTTTGCTTTTTGGGGTCACACCCGGCGATGCACAGGGATTCCTCCTGGCCCTGCACTTAGGAATTGCTCCTGGCGGTGCTTGGGGGTCCCTATGGGATGCTGGGGAATCGAAACCTGGGTCGGCCACATGCAAGGCAAATGCCCTGCTTGCTGGACTATCACTCCAGCCCCCAGAACCTGAGTTCTGAATCTGTCGCCCAGGGCTTGACCTTCAAAAGGCTCAACATACAGGATGGGACGGGGTTCGCGGGCTGCAGTGCTCAGGAAGGTCTTGTTCTGGTCCAAATGACATAGGGAGAAGGCTGAAGACTCAGCTTATCCTGGGTTGACCTCTGAACCCTGCACTTTATTTTCCTTAATTTAGATATTTAGCTAGTGGTACCCACCCCACTCCCCATCTCTGTAATGCTTAAGAACCACTCCAAGCTTGCTACTGGGGATCAATGCTGGGGGTCCAGCATGCTAAGCCCTGGCTCCTGCTCTTTGAGCATCGCCCTGACCCTGACCCCTGCTCTTAATGCTGGCTGGTCAACCCTGCTGAGTGACCACCACCCAGCCCCGTATGCTCTGCAGCCAGGAAAGATTTTTTTTTTATAAGTTTTCCAGTACTGCATGTGCCCAGGGGTTTTTTCCCTCCCCTCCTCCATGACCATGGCCCTTTGTTCCCAGCTCTGCCACCAACAAGGATACTCAGCTGCTGCCGCCTCAACGATGAACTATACAGAGGACAGAAGCCTGGAAGTCACTGCGAAGTCCTCCAGGAGGGGCAGGGGGACCGAGTCTTTTCGAGCGAGACGAGAACCACTGACTCTCCTAGACTTGTTCCGTGTACGTTTCCTTTGGAAAAAATTTCGGTTCACAGGAAGGATGAAAGAAGACAAGGGACCTGGCTGACCCCTCATCCAGATCCCCCAAATGCTGAGGGAGCCACATTTGCTCAGTATGCGACTGTGCTTGTGGTGGTGCGTTTGGTGTGGTCTGCGCTGGTTTTGCAGGCGATTTGTAATTAAGCTCCAGACATGCCTGGCCATTTCTGTGCGTCTCTGTACAAAGGATCCACTCCCGGGGTCATTTTCCTACGCGCTCAGGATGCTATTAGCACATCAAGGCAACAGCAGTTACCAGTAGGCAGCCCCCACTTGCCTTTTCCTCTTGGTCCAGAAAATTCCTTTTGTAACTTTTATTTTATTTTTTTTCATTCAGACTTAGAAGTCCCACACATGGTGTCTGTTTCTTCTTTAGTCTTGGTTTTGTTTTCCATGACACTCACTTGGGGGAGGGGCCCAGACCAGTGGACTTGCAGAATGGCCCATCCTCAACCAGGCAAGGGCACCAATGTGATAAGACTAGGCCTCTCTGGGCTCGGCACGGCCACAGGGCACCAGTGTGTCCTGGCAATAGCAACACCACATCGAATATAAAGTAACAGAATGGGAGACTAACACCCAAGGATAGTAGAGATAAGGGCCAACAGGATCGCTCCATGGCTTGGAAGCCAGCCTCACATGCTGGGGGAAAAGGCAGCTGGGACAGAGAAGGGACCACCAAGAAAAGGATGCCTGGAGGACCCGCTCAGGATGGAAGATGTGCGCTGACAGTAGACTATAGACCGAACATGATGGCCACTTACTACCTGTATTGCAAACCATAACACCCAAATGGAGAGAGGGAGTAAAAGGGAATGTGCCTGCCACAGAGGCAGATGGTATGGGGGCGGTGCCAGGAGGGATACTGGGAACATTGGTGGTGGAGAATGGGCAGGTAGAGGGATGGGTACTCGATCATTGTATGGCTGAAACGTAATCACAAAAGTTTATAAGTCTGTAACTGTATCTCACAGTGATTGATTTAAAAAAAAAAGGCAACACTGCATCTTACCACCCGGTTATGGAGGTGATACAAGATCTCTCTACTGCATTTTGTTTTATAATTGATTTAGTTTTTGTTTCGGGGCCACTCTTGGCAGCGCTCCTGGCTCTGCACTCAGGGATCTCTCCTGGCAGTGTGCAGAGGATAATATGAGGTGCCAGGTATTAAATCCGGGTCAGCTACGTATGAGGCAAGTGCCCTACTATTTACTATATTATCACTCCGATGCTGATCCCTCCATTTAATTAATTAATTGATTTTTTGTTTTATGGGTCACACCTAGAAATGTGCAGGGGTGACTCCTGGCTCTGCACTCAGGAATTACTCCTGGCGGTGCTCAGGGGACAATATGGGATGCCGGGAATGGAACCCAGGTTGGCCGTGTGCAAGGCAAACGCCCTTCTCACTGTACTATCACTCCGGCCCCGATCTCTCCATTTTAAAGGCACCCTTGTTCCTGTGAAATAGATGAGGAACATGCAAGATGACACTGAAATTGTGGCTGTCCTGTTTGCCAACAGGTTGGGCAACTCTGATGATTATTTTCTGAATAGGTTTTTGCACTGGGTGGGAAAGAACTTTTAACTATAGTACCATTCCATCTCATTTTTTTTTCTTTTGTTATGTTCATCGTCCTACATTTGGAATGTGGGAATACAATCAACGGATCTGTAAGATCAAGAAGAAAAACAAACTCTATCTTAGAGGTGTGAACCCAGGTTCAATCTCTCCCTTACTCCCTGCACAGCAAACTAGCAAGCATGCAAACAAACACGGACATCTATGGAATTGAGAACAAGCTCAGGGAAAAACCACCAGTCTTGCCAGCGTCAGTCAACTAAGGGACTCTGATGCCTAGCACTGCGCATGTACTGAGTATCCCCTCAGAAGCTCTGCCATTTGGGGTGAGGCACACCGAATCTGATGTACTGTAACCAAGAGTGTGCAAGTGCAGTGTAAGTGACCCCCAGGGAGCATCAGGACCAAGTGTTCAAGCCCCAGCAAGGCTGGAACCAACTGTGTGAGCTCTGTGATCAAGTCTGTGCGACCTCCAGGCACCCTGATAACAAAAGGGAAAGGACAGGAAATATGTCATTTGAAAAACAAATCTAAAAAATGAGCGAATTTAGAAATCATGGAGCGCATGGCCGCGAATCACGTGACATCTCATTCTCGAGCCGCCGATGTACTGGGAGCAGCACACCAGGTCTGATGCAGTGTAAAGTAGAAGGCAACCCATCTCAATAAAAAAAATAAAAAATATTAGCACACAAGGCTCAACCTGTAACCAAGGTGTTAGTAATCTCTTATACGAGAGCTTAACCTCTTCCAGGGTGAGATACAACAATCTTCACACACTTTCCTCTAAAGAAACTCTTTTGGATCATTTTTTAGCGGATTTTTTCATAACAAGCAACACAAAATAAATTTTTCAGGATCTGCCTTTGGGGCAGGCTTGGGTGGTGGTGGCAAAATTCAAACTAATGGAGGGAAGGAACAACGGTGGTGGGATTGGTGTTGGAATAATTGAATGTAATGGATTATCTTGAACCGCTCAATGCAGATGTAGCACTGTAGCACTGTCCTCCCTTTGTTCATCTATTTGCTCAATACAGATAAAAATTTAAAAAAAAAAGAACTGTTATTCAAGAAATCCTTCTATAAATAATAAATTGGCTGCATACTTTCTTCACTTTCAAAATAAATAAACAAAACCCCTCAACTCGGACTGGAGCAATAGCACAGCGGGTAGGGCATTTGCCTTGCACACGGCCGACCCGGGTTCAATTCCCAGCATCCCATATGGTCCCCTGAGCACCACCAGGGGTAATTCCTGAGCGCAGAGCCACGAATAACCCCTGTGCATCGCCGGGTGTGACCCAAAAAGCAAAAAAAAAAAAAAAAAAAAAAAAAACCCACAAAAAAACCCTCAACTCTCAATACCCTAGAATCATGAAACCCTGGGAAGTAGAGAAAGCAGCACTAACACCTTCTAGGGACCAGGAGAATGGCACCGTGGAGAATGGCACCAAGGCCCTTCAGTACAGGGCCTCCTGCGCATCGCTAGGTATAGCCCAGAAGGTCCCCAGCATCACTGAACGCTGCTCTAGAGACACCCCGCACTCCCCACCAGCACTGCATCCAACCGCCCACATGGTTGGCTGAGACGATGGGGAGAGACCTGCCGGTACCCCCCAGCATCCCTTGGGAGATCACCTGCTCCTCCAGATCCTCTGGCCCACCGGGCACTATGCACAAAGGCCGGGCCATCCCTAGAAGGGGCAGGCAGTGAGGGGTCAAAGTGCCAGAACGCTTTGTTATTGTTGCTTGGTGTCAGGGATGGAACCCAGGGCCCCATCTGTGCCAAGCTAAGGGAACTCCCCGCTGGGCTCAAGGGGCCTAAGCTCTGACCCGACCAGACCACAGCAGCTGCAAGACTCTGTCCAAAAAAAAAAAAAAAAAGAAAAAGAAAAAGAAAAGAGCTCAAACTCAGAAAAAATGTACAACAAAAGTTAGAATGAGCTCCTGGGGATACGTTGCCTGGCTTGCGCCATTCTCAATATGCACCCTTGCCTTCTGAGAAATGCTGAAACAGGAAGGCAAAGGGCCCGGTGCGGGGTTCCATAACGAGACCGTGTTGCACAGCTTCTGATGCCAGGCCCCGCATGGCTCACGCTGCCAGGCAGGCCGATCCGGTACAACTCCCAGACCAACGCCCCCCCAACGGTCCTGCACGCCGGCAAGGTGCCCATTGAGAGGGCAGGGCTACCAGCTGCCTGCTCAGAAGGGGCCAGCCCAGGTCGGATGAGGCCAAGGCTCCTCGCTATAAGAGAATCGGACTTGAGATCAACGGCAGCTCACTCTTTGGCTCTTCGTGTGTGTGTGTGTGTGTGTGTGTGTGTGTGTGCGTGCACGCGCGTGCTCTGGGTGTGTATGTGTGTGTGCATGTGCGCATGTGCGTGTGTGCTATGTGCTGTGTGTGTG